CAAATAACACCCAGAAATGGTTTCAGACAAAGGAATATATAATTGGAATAGATCTCCTGCGCCTCTAGATATAAATGAGTGATTTAAGCAGCCAGTATTGGGAGTGCCACAGCCACGGCACCAAGCTAGTAAACTGTAATATAAAAACAAACAATACGGCGCTAAATAAAATTAACATGCAGGCAACTAAATAATATATGGCCCAAAATGTGCAAAAGGACCATATGCACAAATATATAACATCGGTGTGGGGTAGAGCAAACAGATATGGGGATATCATGCATTAAAGTTACAAAAATATAAATTGGTGAATAGTGTCCTTGTGTATCAAACAAATTCCATGCAGATGTGAGCTGCAATGTGCCAAGACTCTATAGCTGGGGTGCCCCCTCACCTTCCTGCCCAGGCCACTAAGGACCAAAGAGCCTTGGGTAATGAATGGAATGTTCCTCCGGATAACAGGTGGATCCCTCTGGCAGTAATGGTGGAACTCCCTCCTCTTGCCTGTATCGTTAATGGTGGATGATACCAGTAGTGTCTCTCCAGTATATGGCTCTCCAACACGATCACCTGGCTAATATTGCAGCATTCTTTCTGGTGGGGAAGGATCATATAGACAGCCTGTGTAATCAGGTATCATCTACTGGTATCATCCACCATTAACAATACAGGCAAGAGGAGGGAGTTCCACCATTACTGCCAGAGGGATCCACCTGTTATCCGGAGGAACATTCCATTCATTACCCAAGGCTCTTTGGTCCTTAGTGGCCTGGGCAGGAAGGTGAGGGGGCACCCCAGCTATAGAGGATTGGCACATTGCAGCTCACATCTGCATGGAATTTGTTTGATACACAGACAAAGCATTGGAGCGTACTGAACTGGCCAGCAACGAGCCCAGATTTCAATCCCATAGAGCACCTGTGGAGAGAACTCAAAACAGCAGTTGGGAAAAGGAACCCTTCCATTTTGAGAGACCTGGTGCAGTTAGCGAAAGAAGAGGTCCAAAATTCCAGTAGAGGGGTGTAAGAAGCTCATTGATGGTTACAAGAAGCAATTGATTTCATTTATTTTTTCCAAGGGGTGTGCTACCAAATGTTAAATTGAGGGTGCCAATAATTTTGTCCAGTCCATTTTTTGGGTTTTGCATGAAATGTGTCAGATTTGGCTTTTTGTTTCTCCACTTTTTTGTGTCATACCAATACAAACAAAAGAAATAATAAACATGATAATTCCTAAACAATTGTAACTGCAACCATTTTTTGGGTGAAGTGGTGCATTATCTGACAGAAATGCAGTGATGTCAATATTTTTGGCCATGACTGTATATATACTATAGACTAAATGGGGCAGCCCATGCAGGGGAAAGTCACTTGGCTATTTGACAAGACACATAATAACAAACGAACAAGAAAATGCTAGAAAGTGTGGGTAGCTCATGTTATTAAATGGACAATTGCTGAAGTAAGAACGATTACCCATTCATCGTCCAGTCCCCAATAGGATCAAAAGGGAGGAAGACGTACAGTCAGGTCCATAAATATTGGGACATTGACACAATTCTAACATTTTTGGCTCTATACACCACCACAATGGATTTGAAATGAAACAAACAAGATGTGCTTTAACTGCAGACTGTCAGCTTTAATTCAAGGGTATTTACATCCAAATCAGGTGAACGGTGTAGGAATTATAACAGTTTGCATATGTGCCTCCCACTTGTTAAGGGACCAAAAGTAATGGGACAGAAGGACAGAATAATAATCATAACTCAAACTTTCACTTTTTAATACTTGGTTGCAAATCCTTTCCAGTCAATTACAGCCTGAAGTCTGGAACTGTCTTCAGTTCCTGCTTGTTCTTGGGGCATTTTTCCTTCAGTTTTGTCTTCAGCAAGTGAAATGCATGCTCAATCAGATTCAGGTCAGGTGATTGACTTAGCCATTGCATAACATTCCACTACTTTCCCTTAAAAAACTCTTTGGTTGTCCCAATATTTATGGACCTGACTGTAGAAGTCCCCTTTATTGTCTCTCAGCAGCTGATCATCAGATTAATTTAAAGATTAGGCATCATTGCTGTAGAGGCGACCTCAAAACCACCTCAAAACCACCTCATTCAGGCTTTACTGAACTTCTTGGGGCAGTCTCTTTTGAAGAGGGTGTCTGGATACAGGGGTAGAATTAAGTTAACTAGTTGCTTTCAAAATTGGATAGCCATAGTCATGGCCTTCTTGGTACAGAACAGCAACAGACCCAAGATGTGTCCTTTCAGCTGTAGTAGAAACTAGGTTCTTAACGAGGCCTAATAAACATATTTTAGGTGAGTAGACAAAGGAAGTCTGGGCAACAGCAATATTGTTGTGGATAATGTTGTTCCAATAGTGACAAATTTCAGGACATGTCCAGAATACATGGAACAAAATATTATTACATATAAAAATATTATTATTATACAGGATTTATATAGCGCCAACAGTAACAATACAGTTCAATACAAGAGGGCTAGGAGGGCCCTGCTCCTTGGAACGTACAATCTAAGAGATATAAAATATCTCTATTTGGTTGGCTGGACGTTTAGGGTGGTAATTTTCATTTACTTTGGTTATGCATGAAGAACCTCTGCAAGTTTCTACTCTATATAGAATCCTTAAATTATAAAAAGGTAAAGCTAACCTTTTTCTGATCTTTCACAATGTCCTCCAGTTATGCCAACAACTGTAGGGTGAGAAGTTACCCAAACAATTGATTCAATTTGTGCCCAATCAGTTAAGCCACCACACCAAACCATAGCTGTTGGAAAACCAAAAGAAGATACTCTCCATGTGTGTTTGTGTGGCTAACTAAAGCTGGCCACACCCTAGTGGAATTTTATTTGAACTTTTTTCGAAAAGAACGTTTGTTTGATTTTATAATCCTAAAGCTGGCCATACATTGATCAAAATTCGGCAAGTCCAGCATGAACTGGCCAAATTTTGAACAATGTGTGGCCTTCCCTGCTCAATAAAAGTTGATTATTTTATCAACTTCTGTTGAAGGGCCATATTGGAACATTTTCCATCTATCAACAGCTGTAGATCAGTGTGTTCCGACTCTGGTGGGTGACACTGTCAGAGAACAGTTTCCCCATGGAGAATAGTCCCCCATTCACCTTGTGTCCTCCTGTGTATGGAGGAAACTAACTGTAGGGCCAGCTTTAAACATTTGTCTCTAGAGCAAGGGTCCCTATTGTGAGATGTCTCCTCTATTCCTGTTCTGTGGGAACTACAAATTTTGGATTTTCCCCCACTTATACTTCGGTGACATATACGATTATGACAATTTATAGAGAGAGAACCTCCTTAATGGAGATCCAGACAGCAATACAAATCTGACAGTGGTTCTAATCCCTTGGCACTCTCTCTAAATAAAAATAAAAAAGTTTTGGCTTTAGTTATACTTTACTGTATGGTTTGTAGTACAGGCAGACCTTCCCACTTTAGCAATCAGAAATGCTCATGATTGCTTGAAGCTGCAGCTACACCTCTGTGTGAGAGGCACAGTTGGTTATTGATGTGTATTTAGCTGTGTTTTACACATCTGCCACACATTATCACTCATCCATATTGGATTGCAACACAGCACATACTGTAGGTGTGAATGCACCCATAAAGTATATCATGCAAGATAAATTGCTTTGGTGATTTCCCCTCATGTGCTAGTGACATCCTACTGCCTTGCAAGAAAAAAAAGTGGGGGTAAATCTCCACAGCGGGGACCAGGGGTGGACTGACAACTCCTGGGCCCCCGCAATAGGGGATCATGGGGCCCCTGTGTCCTCACCCACACTCTAACTACACCTAAAAAAGCCTATGAAAGGTACTAGGGGCATCTCATGGGGCCCCCTACTGACCCTGGGCCCTCGGGCAGTGCCCGAGTGCCCGAATGGTCTGTCCGCCCCTGGAGGGGACCCTTACAACAGGTTTAAAAAAACAAAACCTTGAGCTATTTGAGCCCATACTCACCTTGTTCAAAGTATTAAAAAAATAAAAGAGCTGGAATTGGATTTTAAAGCACAAATCTGGGAGGAAGGGGGGAATGTTCAAAAATGTCCCCAATCTGTATCTAAAACCCTAAAATGCTTTCCTGAATCTGATGACATATGGAATTCTGCAGTGCCTCTGATACTTGTGCAATCTAGTGATCAAAAGCTGCAGTCTTGTTGCTGTAACTTTTCATTGTCATGCCGTGACGACACTGCTTGGTGACTTCAGGACCCTGCAAGACCCTGCGATGGATTTTTCTGACAGCTAATGGCCAGTGACCACATTACCGGGAAGTGGTGCGGACACTGCAAGAAGGTTGCACACTGCAGACCAGAAGAAAAAAGCATTGTGACCCACCCTGATACATGACCACAATTTCAGGTAAGAAAGTGGGGATCATGGTTACAATTTCCTTAATAAAACCTATAGGTAGCTAAGGGGGTGGGGTAGGAAAAGGTGGTATTTTTTGCTCAGACATCAGCTTTAAAAAAACTAAAACAAATGCTGACAGGTAGGATTTTTATGACAGAAGGACACCCTATGGGTCATAAATCATTTTTCCTGTCTGTCAGGGTTTATGTACACTGAGCCACTCACACACCTGCAGCTCAGCATACATTTACAGCACTGTTCTGTGCTGTGATGACTTTACATCGCAGCCCAGCCAAAAAAGTGGCCAAAGAGTCCGAACCCAGAAAAAGGCCGTGAGAAGATGGACCCATGACAGCCGAGAGCGCTGATACCACAGCCCTGAAAGGGATCGCTTGGCAAGTGAGTCTACCATAATGTGTTGTGCATATACCCTATTTTTCGCTCCACAAAACGCACCTGACCATAAGATGATGCACCTAGGTTTTAGAGGAGGAAAACAAGAAAAAAATATTCTGAACTAATGGACTGCAGACACAGTACAGGAAATGACCAGAGACTGCAGACATAGTACAGGAGATGACCAGAGACTGCGAACACAGTACAGGAGATGACCAGAGACTGCGGACACGGTACAGGAGATGACCAGAGACTGCAGACATAGTACAGGAGATGACCAGAGCCTGCGGACATAGTACAGGAGATGACCAGAGCCTGCGGACATACTGTAGGAGATGACCAGAGACTGCGGACACGGTACAGTAGATGACCAGAGACTGCGGACATAGTACAGGAGATGACCAGAGACTGCGGACACAGTACAGGAGATGACCAGAGACTGCGGACATAGTACAGGAGATGACCAGAGACTGCGGACATGGTACAGGAAATGACCAGAGACTGCGGACACGGTACAGGAGATGACCAGAGACTGCAGACACAGTACAGGGGATGACCAGAGACTGCGGACACAGTACAGGAGATGACCAGAGACTGCGGACATAGTACAGGAGATGACCAGAGACTGCGGACATAGTACAGGAGATGACCAGAGACTGTGGACATAGTACAGATGACCAGAGACTGCGGACAAAGTACAGGAGATGACCAGAGACTGCGGATATAGTACAGATAACCAGAGACTGCGGACACAGTACAAGAGATAACCAGAGACTGAGGACATGCTACAGGAGGTGACCAGAGACTGCGGACTTTTGGGAAGCGTAAGGGGAGGGGAAGCGGGTACCCGAATTTGACAGGTACCCGCTCCCACTTCTGCGGAGTTGTCCTCCCTCTCCATTTTCTGGGACACGTAACAGGTCCCAGAAGACTGCCAGACCATTCACAAAGCGCAGTGCTTCTCGCGCATGAGCAATGGGCTATGAAACCGCAAGCTGTCACAGCTGGGTGCCCACACTAAAGATGCCGGCGTTAGGGAGAGAAGACGGTGAGGACCAAGGAACAAGTAGGACCGAGGAGCAGGTTCTGCTGCACAGAAGAGCCGAGCAGCCGGCCCAGTATTCTAACGCAGCAGGAATACAAGGCCAGCTGCTCCATAAGACGCACAAACATTTTCCCCCATTTTTTTGGGTGAAAAAAAGTGCGTCTTATGGAGCGAAAAATACAGTAAGTACAGTATGGCGTAAAGCTACTGGGGGTCTTTGTGTTTATTCTTTTAAGCAGACATTTAATTCCGCTTTTAAGTCATACTTCACCATTTTATCAATAATCTGCCTATGCAGGTAAGAAAGGGAAGTGACGTCAAGACGTGTTGAGTAACAGGAAGTTGCCGGTCAGCCATCTTGGATCCTGGAAATTCCATTCACAGACACAGGAGGAGTGTTCCTGAGGATCTATGGAGGGTCTGTTCATAATTTTAATATGATGTGACATTTATGCAATAAAATTTATGTGGTATTGAAGAACTTCCTATTGCTGTTTGTGGTGGCATTATCTGGAGTCACTGAGAACATGACCGGATGAGTTTTTACATGAACTTTATCAGTATAATCTGCTCAGCTTTGGAGGGAATCTATATGGTAATGGAGGAGGAATTTCCCACTTGCTAAGTTTGAAAAGCCGTTTTTGGATTGGGACTTACATGCTTGTGATATCCATGTTCTGCTAAGGGTGTTTTATCCCTACACTTAGAAGTGGACACGTGGTTACATGGTTTGCACACTGCATGAGAGTGTTTATAGTGGTTGGCACAGCTCACATTATACTCACCTGCATGAGTCACCACGTGTGGTTTAGTGTGATTCACATGCGTTTTGCAGTGATGTTGATATTACCTTATGCGTTTTTATGGTATCACACTATGTGAGTTCTCTTTTTTTTTGAGGTTCGATCTCCATAATCGCTGGATCTACATTCGGCTGGAAGCCTTTTTGCGGACTGTCTTTCTGGAGGATTTTTGTCTATTCTGTTTATTTTATTTGATTATATTTTATTTTTTATTGTGGCCAATATAATTTTTGGACAGTAGTATTTATTTATTTATTAGTATTATTTAGTATATTAGCACTTTATATATCTATATATATTTAGGTAAGAGGCACACCTGTGGATAAAATAAACTGTACAGCTTTGATCAAAGTTGAACAATGCCCTTGGTATAGGTGATGGCCATTTATGTACCTCTTGAAGCCTGACTGATAAACATTTAGCGATGGCATCATCCCACTCTGCCTTGTTGCTAGGATTCTGCTTAGAGACTCGCAGCTGTTACGGCCCACCTCCATCATCACAGGAGTGAGCTTTCAAAAGCTGAGCTCAGAGCTACTCCGTCGGGAGAGAAGAGCACATGTGAGGGAGTTTGAATTGGAGAAAGAGCTTGTTCCTGTGATGGTGGAGGTGAACAGTAGAATCTAGGAGTCTCTTAGCAACATCCTAGCAATGAGGCAGGACATAATAATGCATTCTTAGGGAGTTTTTCAGTCAGGCGTCAGAAGGTTTGTATGGCCTACACCACCAAGGGCGTTATTCAACTTCAGTCAAAGCTCCACAGTTTATTGGTAAAGGTGATCTATGCCTTTAAATTAGACCTGTAAAGTATGAATCTGGTTGCTATGGGTCACTACAGTGGAACTAAACCCTTCTATCTGTTACAGCCAAGGAAGCTGCCATCTTGACCTCTGTTTGATGTGCTGTTGCCGTGGTGCTGCACACATGATCAGGTATGACACCAGTCATTTGATGTCCTTGAGAGTTTGGTTTAGAGCCCAGGCAAATGTGACAGATATCATTCACAGCATGCCTTTAATGCAAGGCCTCATTCACACCACACATGCAGAAAATATGATGGAAAAAAATGCACAGATTTCACTTGCAGAGACATGAGCTTACATCAGTTTTCAGTGAGCTACATGTTCCACTGTGCAGGAAAGAAACTGCAGGTGATACCAGTGTTGTGGTGTGAACAAATCACATAGAGAACAATAGTTTTCTATGTGCCCTTGCAGACCTTGTGCAGAAAAACTCAGGCCTCTGTGAATGAGGCCTAACCCTTTTGGAAAACAGTTAAATCAATGGGCTTAGATCTTCTTTAACCACTTGCCGTCCGGCCGCTGTATATAAATATATGGCAGTCCAGGGGCGGGTTGCCGTTCATAGACAGTGGCCGCCATTTTGGGACTGTGCGCGCTCCCTGGGAGCATACAGCACCGTGATCCGGTGCCCGCTGTGTCCTCCGGACACAGTGGAACGCCGATCGTCGTACGGGACCTCTGTGCGAGATCCCGATCATGTGATCACTGATTGGCCAATCAGTGATCACATGCAGAGTAGTAAACAAGATGTCACTTCTGACATCATTGCTTACTACGTGTGAAATCTGTGAATGATCACAGAGGTCACATGGTACAAGGCTATTCACAACAGCCTTGTACCATGTGACAAGCTGTGACCAATCACAGCTCACACAGTATTTCTCCATGGCTGCAAGAATGCAGCCAGAGAGAAGGATAAATTATTGCTTTTACAGCCTTCATGGGTGTAAAAGCTATCAATGTAAAAAAAGAAAAAAAAAATCTTCATCAGCCCCCACAAGTAGTACAGTGTCACCATGGTGACACTGTACTGCTAGGGTGACAGTATTTTTTAAAAAATTATAATTTTTGGTTATAAACTAATTTGGGTTATTTTTTTTTTACTAAAAAGATAAGTGAATACATTTTGGGCAAGATTTATGATGAAATATTATTTATTTGCAAAATTTTATAAGAAAAACAATTTTTTTCACAATTTGTGGACTTTTTCTTTTATATAGCAAAAAAAAAATAAAAATCCCTCTGGTGAATAAATACCACCAAAATAAAGCTTTATCTGTCTCAGAAAAAATACAAAAAAATTCATATGGGTACAGTGTTGCATGACCGCACAGTTGTCATTCAAAGTGTGATAGTGCTGAAAGCTGAAAATTGGCCTGGACAGGAAGGGGGTAAAAGTGTCCGGACTTGAAGTGGTTAAGAATAAGAATTTCTTTAAAAAAGATGTGAGTTTTCTGTGATACTCATGTTGGCCTGATTTATTTATTTATTTTTGTAAATTGGGGCTCATTCACATCAGTTGACATGCTAAAACATGTGTGGGCTGGGGTACATTGTGTAGGGGTAGTGCTTTGCTGTGTTACAAAGCAAGACACTATTAACTTTTTGTTATCATGAAATGACACTTCATTTAAGTCTGTGCACCACAGCATATTGCAAGTAGTGAGTAACACTACATAAAAACATGCATCATGTCTGCATTTTTATGCAACCCACCTCAACACAGCATATTGTGGTATAAACATGGACCATAGTAAACAATTGTGTTCTATGTGCCATTGTGATAATCTGTGCAGATCAACTCAGCTCAATTGAAATGGTGTGAATGAGCCCTTGGGCTAGCCATACAATGTACATATGGATTTCTAATGAAAATAGATTCCTGCATCCAAGCTTAGGCCTCATTCACTCTTACCCTAGGTTCACATCTGTGCGGGTCGTGCCGCTGTGGAGCTGCATGAAAATCCGTGCAGCCACATCACCCGCACAGAGAAATGTGGACCTGCGTGTGGGTGCCATTAGTTCTAATGGCACGCCACCCGCACTGGAAAACGCAACCATACTGGGAACCGAGGTTCCCATGCGGGCTGCGTTTTCCAAAGAAGTGCAGGGACTTCTTCCCTGCGTGTCACGAGCACAGGAGTCCATTTAAATGAATGGGCTCTCATGCCCGTGCAAACCGTGGCCCGGATGGCCTCATGGATGTGAACCAGGGGTCAGATGCGTTTATATGATGTTGGGGCCGGTTCACACTGAAAAGCGCTGTGCGTTCCTCTGCAAGTCACATAAAATCCAGGTGCAGTGCTACTTTAGAGCATTCATTTGAATGGGCTCAAATCATGCTGGACTCCAGTAGAAGTAACGCATGCATTACCTGATAAAATGCACAGCAGCCAGATCACATGGTACTATTGTACTACGCGACTTGGTGCAAGCAAACACACAAGACTTTACAACCTGCATTTGGTGTCATTAAGTTAACATTGACGCAGATCGTAACTGCAGAGCGTTTTGAACGCGGTGCTGGAAATACGCACAGAACACAGGTTTACCGCACTGCGTTCTGGTGTGAACTTGCCATTCAGAACATTTCTAATTGCATATAAATGCGTGTAATGAAATTTCAATGGAGCCATTCACACTGAACATTTACATTTGGGTGTTGTCAGTTTAGCTGCCTATAGAGAACATTAAAATGCTGACTAGAAACTCTAAATGTGGTTAAACTCATGTAAACGTTGTGTAAGGCCTCGTTCACACTGGTGCACCCATGCAAGGGGTTTTCCTGCATGGATGTGTGCAGGTGTTCCATGCATCCCCATGCAGGTAGTCTTATTCATTTCAATTTTGGACGCACAGCTGCTGCTCCCCATGTCTGTATTCGGCCCTTGCACCCACACCTGCACGGTTGTCAAAATGGTATAAATAAGAATGTGCAGCTGCTGCATCCCAACTGATATGAATAGGACTGCCTGCCTGGGGATGCATGGAACACCTGCACATCCCTGTGTGGGAAACACAGCCCTCACACGGGTGTATGCTGTAGTATGCTTCTACGAATGAGACCTAGGTAGAACTAAATGTGACTAATCCTGCTTTGACGCAGGGGCATCTAAACTCAGGAAAAAGTGATCTGGGGAAGCATATGGCCCCCTGCACATGTTGCCATCTAACTTTACCTTTAGATTGTAAGCTCCATGAGCAGGGCCCTCACATTCCTTCTGTATTGAAAGTATTGTAATTGCACTGTCTCCCTTATATTGTAAAGCGCTGCGCAAACTGTTGGCGCTATATAAATCCTGTATAATAATAATAATCTAACTGCTTGGTGTCGCTCAGTGTTTTAGTGCTCCCGGAGGGACTGGTACAACATCCTGCCCTGCTGTCTGCAACCTGTCAAAGTCTCTGGCAGGCTTCAGTTGGATGGGGATGAA